TCACTTCCCCCTCTCTCCCCTCCCTCTCTTTCTCCCCTTCTCTCTCTCTCTCTCTCTCTCTCTCTCTCTCTCTCTCTCTCTCTCTCTCTCTCTCCGATGGCCGAGTGGACGCGACGTCGGTGCCCACAGAGGGACTGCGCAACATGATATAATATCAGAAATGACATAATACAAATCAATATTACATCACTCCAGATATTATCCGCCCATCAAAATCCACACCGAGTTCTCGCATACGTGCCTACGAAAATATGGGTGTGTGCGTACCCGTGTGCGCGCGTGCGTATGTGTGCGTGCGTGCGCGTCTGTGTGCGTGCGTGTGCGTATTGTGTGCGAGTTTCCTAGGTACGTGCATCTTCGCACGCGCGTACGCGATAGTGCGTGCATCGTTTTCTCTCCCCTACTGCCTATCACCTCCTCGCGTAACTCGGCTGCCCCCAGCCACAGGCAATTGGAACATCTCAATAAAAAAGTAAATAAACACGAAATTTTATGCATTTACCACCAAAGTCTATATAGATGTTCTACTACATACAACAAGTATAAAGAGTTTTAAAAGTAAGAGTAATCTTTATACTTGTTGTTTGTGCACAGCGGCGTGCGTGCGGTGTACTTTTGTGGTGCAGAGGAGCATTTGAACGCCATTTGCAGGAAGTTATCGTCAATAATGGGCGAAAGACAGTAGAGAAACATTGAGACGTTGGTAGTAAATGCATTTCGTGTTTATTTACCATAATTTTTTTTTAATCGAGACGTTCCAAGTGCCTGTGCCCCGGGCCGCAACCTCCACACCCTCACACTCCTAGACAGCTAGCTATCATTAACTATGACATCATGAAACCTGCAGGATTACGCCCCCCACCCGTGATAATTATCCCCCCTTAAACGGCGAGAGTGTGTTTCACATAACACATACATGTATACATGTACATAACAGTTAACACATACATGTATAACACAATACACGTATACATACATGTATACATGTACATAACACAATACACGTATACATACATGTATACATGTACATAACACAATACACGTATAAAGAGAGAGAGAGAGATGTTTCGTCTCTATACATTCAGCTCTATAGCAACGATGTTTTGCACGAGTGCAGAACACAATGCTCACGACGTTTACAACACTAGTTTATAGCTGCGTAATTAGCGGATTATCATTAAAACATCGCGTTAGCTAATTAAGATTTAATATCATAATGTTCGCGCGCGAATCGCCGCGACTGCCATAGCACGACAAAACTACACGAGCTGACTACATTAATAGGAGAACATGCGCTATCCGACAAACTCGCTAGCTTAAATATCAATGGCTCATTAACATCGCTTGACTGTGCGAGTCAGTCTACGTATAGTATGGCTAGTAATACCCACAGGCACTTGGAGCGTTTCAATAAAATATAATGCTAAATAAATACGAAATCTATTTACTACCAAAGTCTTAATGTTTCTATACTCTCTTTCACCTATTATTGCCGACAATGCCGTCCAAATGCTCATCTGCAACACACGCTGGCTGCCGCACGCTAGCTGCTGCACACTGACACATAAATATATATATTTAAACCGGCTTTACCTGCGGCTGTAAAGCTTATATATAACACCTGCTGTGCAAGTACATGTACGTGGGCAGCTACTTCAAGGGGATTATTACTAAACGAAATTAAACACGAATAGCAAGTGGACATTATAGGTTCACCTATCCCTCTTGCTCGCTCGCCTGCACGCACGCACGCACGCACTCACTCGCACACACGCACGCACGCGTACGCACACACACACACACACACACACACACTCGTTCTCTCATTCACTCCGCCTCACTTTCCCTTCTCACCCTATCGCTCCCTCGTCGTTTATACAGCTGAGCGGAAGCCTGAGACAGTAGCAGAGGCTGCGAAATATTGGCTGAAAAGAGTCTCGACAAGAGATAGAAATAACAAGAAAGAAGCCGATCGACAGAAGGATAAACACTGAGGGCAGACCAAAGCCACAGCAGATAACAATTTGGCGAATAGACTCGGCGAATGAGAACGCAAAAAACCGACCACCCTCATGCCTCCCCTCCTCCTACTCTGCCTCCTTCTCCCCTCCTCCTTCCCTCCTCATCATGGGCAGGTGCGCTCACGGTCGAAGCCTCGCCTGTGAGCGAATTCGATTTTAATGTTGCATGTTCTAATTCGCATCACAGCAGCAGCAGCCGCAGCAGCAGCAGCAGCAGCAGCAGTAGTAGCAGCAGCAGTAGAAGTAGCAGCAGCAGCAGCAGCAGCAGTAGTAGCAGCAGCAGCAGCAGTAGCAGCAACAGCAGCAGAAGCAGCAGCATCAGCAGTAGTAGTAGCAGCAGCCGCAGCAGCAGTAGTAGTAGCAGCAGCAGCAGCAGCAGCAGTAGCAGCCGCAGCAGCAGTAACAGCAGCAGCAGCCGCAGCAGCAGCAGCAGTAGCAGCAGCAGCAGCAGTAACAGCAGCAGCAGCCGCAGCAGCAGTAGCAGCAGCAGCAGCAGTAGCAGCAGCAGCAGCAGTAGCAGCAGCAGCAGCAGCAGCAGCAGCAGTAG